CTCGGAGGAGCTCCTAGCTCACAATATGATGAAAGAGGTGTTGTGAAGATCTAAGAATGTGAGACAATACAAGCTAAAAGGCTGTAATATTGTTTGGAGGGCAAAAGGGGAAGGACAAATGTCCTTTCACTTTTTGAATATGGTAGAAATCGATTCCAATAGCATCGAGAATTTATATATGTGTTTAATTAAGGGCATAAATATATTCATATCTCTTAGAGAATTTGAAGCCTTGATAAAAAAATTTTAGTGTAACAAATATCAAAATAGAGTTAGGAACCTTTGATTTCAAGAGTAGAAGTAAATGTCTTTGCTCAAGTTGGCACCTTGAATAGTTTATTAAAAAAAAAAAAGAAAGCTTTTAATTTTGAGAAAAGTAAAAATCAAAGAGTTAAAGTTGAAAATGTTGATGTTTTTGAATATTTGATTGTTTGGGAATAAAAATATTTATATTATTTTGCAGGAGTCTTTTTTAGAGTATATTACCGAGTTCTAAAATGTAGTAATCTCAATGCTCACTACTTATACACTTACCGGTATGAGCATAACCATTACTTTCTAAAGTATGAGATTTAAATTATTCTCATACCAAATAATTTTTTAAAGTCTAAAAATTAAAAATAAAAATATACATTTTGAAACTTTATAAATAAAAATCAGTAAATCTAATAATCTCAATATCAAATTAGACAGGTTAAAAGGTTAGAGACGAGAATGAAAAATACATGGTCATGGAAAGGGTAGATAATGGAGTTTAAACAAGAAATATATTTATACATAATGGAAAGGAGCGGAGGTTTAATTATTGGAATGGCACATGCAACCATATTAACCAAATCTTTCAAATTTAACTTTTCTATTCACAACCTCCATTTCTTTTTAATTTGAAAAAAAATAAAAATAATTATCCTCATAATTTAATAAAATCAATCTAAAAAACTCGTCAATGTCACTTTTATTTTAAAAACTAAACAAAAAAAAAATTGTAAATGTCTTGATTCAAATATTAAAAAAAAAAATTTTAATCAAACAATTTCAATTTATTCGTAGTAATGTATTTTTTTTTATAACATAGTCATTTTACGATACGTAGTACTAAAAATAAAAGCAAAAGAAAGAAAAGAAGAAAAATATACCAAAAACAAAAAAACATAAACACAAACATATAAGATCTGAACAATATTGAAATATAAGAAAGGTTAAATACACCAAAAACAAAATAGAAAATCAACGTTAGTTTACATGAATGGTGATAAAAAAAATAATGGAATGAGAGTTAGTTTATATTTATTAGAATTAAAAAGAAAAAAGAAAAAAAAGTTATGACATTAGTTGAGGATGTATGAAACAAAGGAGATTAGTTGAGGATGTACAAAACAAAGGAGACGGTAATAAGTATTTTTTTCCACCAAATAGGATAAAATCGGAATTCATTATGTTTAAACCTAAAATGTTTCGGTAAAATTCCTATTTTTAATTTTTTAATTTTTCATTTTCAAATTTTGAAAAATATAAACATCTTGGTGTAGCCGTTCTTATTTCTTGTTTTTTTGACTTTTTCAAATTTGTTTAGAAATTTTAGAAATAAAGAAATTAATTTTTTTTGCTATTCTTTATATTTTCAGTTTTATTAAGACATTATTTTATCATTTTTTATTTTTTAAATGCATAATAAATATAACTTTAAGATTTAAATATTTAATTGAAAAGTTAAATTTCATATAAATTTTGCTTTTGCATTTTTTATTTTTTAAAATTGTAGAGAACAGCGATATTTGAGAAATTGGACCGATCAGAGGAGTTACATCGCAATAATACTAATTTTAACCATTTATATCTCTTTCTTAGTATTAATGCTAAGAAAAATATTTGATCATTTTTTCAAAATACAAAATATTTCGTCATTTAAATGAGGACTGTTTCTTGATTTTAAATTAATCATTTATTTTTATTTTAATTTTTGGTCCAAACTTAGAAGAACAATTGACAGCAGAATCGAACATAGTTCAAATGATTAAGGTACCTATTCCTAACTAGAAGGTCAAGAGTTCAAACCTCTGTTCCAATCATGTTGTATTAAAAAAAATTGACAGTAGACTTTTTCATCTTCTTAGCTTGAAATTATGAGGAGGAAAAGAAATAAATAAATTCCAGTTTTAATAAGTAAAATAAAATTAAACCGGCTAGAATTGGTTGTTAAAGAAAGAAAAAAAAAGGCGGAACCTGAAAATCGAACTGAATCCGATGAAATTCACTCACACTAAAATGTAAGAAATTGAAGTTGAAAATGGAATAATTTTGTTTGTATTCACTGACAAAATTTCTTTGATTTACAGAACAGGAAAGGGAAAAGTTCTCCCAAGATCTCCACAATAAGTTATAGAGAGAAATCCAAATGTAAGGAATGGAAGAAGAAGAAGAAGAAGAAGAAGAAGAAAGCATCGGCGTTTAACATGGCATGATATGCGTCGTTTTGGTATCGTAACTTGAGAGGCACGATTTCGAATTGATCCGGAAAATCTTCAGCAAATCTCTCGCCATCTGCCGCACCGCCGCCGAGCAATTGCTCTGCATTAGCAGCAATATCTTCGTCAATCCGTTCGCCTTCGTCAGCGCCTCCGCCGCCTTCTCGTCCCTGAACAGATAGCACACGCTCCACAGCGTCGTCACCGCGTGCTCTGTCGCCGTGTTCGACACCTTCAGAACCTTCTGCACTATCGCCGCCACGCACGCCGAGTCCTCACAGATCTCCGTCCGCCCTTCCCTCACCGTCGATGCCGTTTCCAGCACCTTCAGAACTTTCTCCGTCATCGAAACCGGGTTCGGCTCCCACAGCAGCTTCGTCACTAGTTTGATCACTCCGAGATTTACTATTTTAATTTTGATTCGTTTCGGCATTGAAATCGAGATTAGGCATGACAGAACCGATTCCACTATGGTTGAATCGTTTTCAGTGTTGATTAATTTCAGTAATTCTTGTATCAATCCATCTTTTTCAGCTATTAAGATCTTCGCCTCGGCGTTGATGGCGATATGCTCCAAAAGATTAGCCGAACAAATTTTCAATTCCACTTTTCCTTTCTGCAGAACCAGAAGCAGAGACGACACACAGTTCCGATCGCTCTTCAGCATCAACTCCATCAACCGCTCCTTATCCTGAATTTCATTACGAATCAAATGCAACAGCCTCGTCGTCTGCTCAACCACAACAACATCCTCGCAATTTCCGCCATCGACATTGCCAAGAAGATCCACCAGAACCGGCACGAGACCGTCAATTCTGCAGAGAAA